GGATGAGAGGGAGAGAGAGCGGAGGAGAGAGAGGAGAGAGAGAGAAGAGAGAGAGAGGAGAGAGAGAGAGAAGAGACAGAGACAGAGACAGAGACGAGAGACAGAGACAGAGAGAGAGAGAGAGAGAGAGAGAGAGAGAAGAGAGAGAGAGAGAGAGAGAGAGAGAGAGAGAGAGAGAGATACACGCACGCACGCACATACACGCGCGCGTATACACGCACGCACGCACATACACGCGCGCGTGTACACGCACGCACGCACATACACGCACGCACGCACATACACGCGCGCGTGTACACGCACGCACGAGAGAAGCTGCTCAATGCCACCTAGCTCCCTTGCCTCTGAATCAATGAGCACGCGCATGATTTAACTCTGCTTTTCGCCACAACCCTGAATAAACCATCACAGAACGTCGACAAGAATTGAGAGACACGTCAACTACGGCTGAATTCACGGCGGCCTCTGATGCGATTAGGTTCAGAAGCGACTCGAATACGAAATACACTACAGCGAGTGCAAATGAGTTGAAACTTGCTGATGCCCCCCTCTTGAATTTATGTTTTTTTAGTATGATATGTAATGGCCATCTAAAGAAAGCCGTCAAGAGGGAAGGAAGAAAACACGTGCGTATGTAGAGGAAAATGCCCTAGAGAACCTTTCTGAGAAGTTTCGTAATACGCAATGATCTGAAGTTCGTGCAGCGAATGCCGAAACCTTTCACGCTTCGGCAGACACGCGAAGAAAATTATTCGCTTTTAGGGGTGGTGAGAAATGAAATCAGTCATCTAGGCAGCAGAGTGCAGCGGGTATAATGTAAATTACGGGCCAGGTTAGCGAGCGCAGCACCTGGGAAAACAAGGAAGATAATTTATTCCTCTTGAATTATGGGTCGCAAGACTACATATTAAGTTAGTAGGCGAGTCAGGAACTCACTATACTGTAAAATTGCATAGTGATAATGAATCGAGTGCGGTTGTGTTGTGTTAGCTTAGATGTCTGGTTAATAACAAAGGCACTTCATATATAGAGATGGCGCGTAGGCGTTAACAAATTTACATGTGGAAATTCCTTATACAGCCGCCTATGCCATTACTGTGAGAGAAACACATAAGTACTGATGGCAACTGTAAGTATAACCCATAGAAATAATATAAATAACCGATGGTATAACGGAACATTCATTGCAATAAAAAACAATCATTTTAATTATCTTTTAAGTAATGATGGCAACTGTGAATATAACTGAGCATTGCAATACAAAAAAACAAGAATTTGTTTTTTGTTTTTAATTAGCGTTTTTTTTTTATCCATGCAGACCTGTTTAAAAGTTATAGCAGGTAAATCGTATTATATTTATCCGCTAATAATGAAATGCATACGTGTGCTAAAGCCACAATATCAAATGATTTTTTAAATAATATTTAACACGTATGTATTTTGTATTTTAATCCCGAATTATTAAAAAGTTAATTAAATCAAGAGTCCATAATAGAAAATGTTCTATTATATGGACTCTTCATTAAATTATACATTTGATTAATTAGGTGCATGTTTAACACATCAGCTGTTTTGCAAATCAAATTTTAAATCTCCGATATTTCTTTATCCTTATTTCTTCCAAAATCATCTTTAGAATTTCGCACAACGCCTACTATACATAACAACGTGTGAAAAGCTTACATCGAGCATCGATACTAATGGCATTTGACAGTGACGTTGAGAACAAGTGAAGATTGTCTACGAATCATTATTAGTGAGTAGATAACATATAAAATGGCGGCAAACATAAACAGGAAACGCTACGACGCCGGACGCCACGCAATTATAACACTTGCAGTACATGTAGATTTCTTTCCACAACCACAGGGCGTACGCAAGCACCGAAATGCGCACGGTCGCGCGCGTGTTGCATCCGCGAAACTTATTCGGCAACAATAAATTTCATCAAAGGCAGCAACATCGGCAGCAGCTGTGTAACTCCGGGGGCTATCATATCAGTGTCACCTTCGCAGATATCCACAAAATCATCTCCAATGTTAGGTACCCCCCCCCCGCCCCCGTCTCGGGGGAAGTGTGAAGGCAATGTGGCGAGCAGCGGAGACGAAGCGAATTTGCAGTTTCGTTTCGCGCGGGAAACAAGTCGCGTGATGTCGTTACCGGATGAGTTATAAAATGTCACAATCGCGTGTGTCGCCAGCACGCGCGTGTGTGTGTACGGGGAGGTGACAGGTAGATGTGACAACACACACACGTGTGTGTGTACGGGGAGGTGACAGGTAGATGTGACAACACACACACGTGTGAGATAGCGTGAGGAGGGGCGAGGCAGAGGGACAGTGAAAGAACGAGTGCAAGGGAGAGACGAGGGCCCTAGGGATAGAACGAGAGGGAGGGGGGGGAGAGAGAGACAGAACGATAAGAGAAGACGGAGACACAACAATTAAGCACATTACACATCAACACAAAAACGTCCAGCCATCAGAATGTAATTACTTTCTTATTAGAGTTGTATCATTACCCTCCTAGAGTGTCACACGATTGTAATAACTTTCTTATTAGAGTTGTATCATTACCCTCCTAAAGTGTCACACGATTGTAATAACTTTCTTATTAGAGTTGTTTCATGACTCTCCTAGAATGTCACACGATCAGGTGACAAATCATTCCGTCATTTCCAGGTGATTGCCCCCGTCCCCCCTCCACCGACCTAATTCCCCAGCGATCACAGGAAGAAGCCTAGGACTCACCTTAAAGCAGAAGGTGTCGTTGAAGACCGGGTTCAGGGTCTTCCTGTGAACCTTCGTCTCAAACTTCTTCTTCTTGTCCGGCAGCAGGTAGACCTTGACGTAAGGGTCCGACGTACCCGACATGTCCATCCCCGGCAGATCCTCCGCCTGCAGCACCGTCACCGACAGCTGCAAGACAAACAAGTGAACATCGCAGTGAGCGAGTGACGAGATGGCCACCAGGGGGCGCGCGTGACGCGGCGATGCGGGAAAGATGGCGTCTCAGACCTCGGAGCGTTACGGGGAAGTACCGCTAGAGGGTGCATGTATGGCGGCGATACAGGAAAATCTGCTATCTTCTATCCTGTCTCAGTACGTGGGTACTACGCGCGACCTTTTAGGGCAGGGGTTCTTAACCTGTGGTCCATGGACCCTTTTGGGGTCCATGGGTGGGCTTCAGGGAGTTCGTGAACAAGGCGCATTAAAAAAAATTTTGTTCATGTGCTTACGTTCATTTTTCTTGGGCGGGGTCCGTAGCTTTCACCAGATTCTCAAAGGGTCCATGACTCAAAAAGGGTTAAGAACTACTGGTACCACACTGGGAAATGCTTTCCCATAGGCGGCCATACTTACGAAATAATTCCCATAAATCAGCAGAAGTTTTTTTTACAAATAATAATGCCATCCTCTGAATCCAAGTCGCAAGTGACACCATATATGTTATTAACAAAAAAATTCTTCCGTAATTTCTCTTGTAAACAAACTTTTGCCAGCACACACTAGAAATGACCAATTTACAATGTGAATCTGCACAAAAAGTAGGCTTTCTTTGAAAATTTATGGGCCGCCCCAGCAACGCACCTCGGACGAGCCGTTTACACTGTCGGATTCAGAAAAGATTCTAGTTTCTGAAATTAACAATTGCAAACAGTTATAACCCTTTCTAATGAGAAATACAAAATTCTAGCGCATGCAGACACTCAAAAAGGATCTCATTCTGAACCTGTCCCAATGCTCATTGGTGGATTTGCCATCGTCATAACTACTGCTCTAGGGGTTGTCCGTCGGCACTCACGTTCACTCACTCATCATTGCTCACTCATCATGGCTGCTCACTGCTAAGTGCGTGGAAAAAAACGAGGAGGAGGTAGCTTTGCAGCGATATGGAGAAGACAAAGAAAAACACGAACTACAGCGTTTCGTGGCTAGCGGCTGTAATAAGTGTAATCTGTTACACTGCGTTGATATCAGTCATTACCGATCGAGTTCTTCGAAGCCGGCGTAATAACATGCAATTGGCGGCACCGCAGCAGCGATAGCTAAAAGATTTCTCGTTGCATCCGATAGAGGAAAAACGTTCTAAAATAGCATCTCTCTGCTTTCGCGAGCAGGAGTTGCATATAGGCATGCAGCGTATCGTTTCAAATCGCCTGCATCAACGGAGCGCTGGTAAACAGATTATGCGTCAATCAAAATAATCTTGGTTTTCTGACGGACAGAATTTGTATATATATGAGCAATATACAGAGTTGTTAGAATAATATTAGAGACACCGTAAGTGTACGCACACGCCCGCACACGCCCGCGCACGCACGCACGAACGCACGCACCCACCCACAGAGAGACAGACAAATATATGACGCTATGCTTACCGAAACGTTCTAATGTTCTAATCCATTTCGGTGGATTATTTGTTCACTATTTAACCTCTATTTGTTATCCACTTAGGTTTGTTTGGCAAGTAGATAAGCACGTGGCACGTGTACACCCGATCTCGGCATAAAACATTGATGTGCAACGATCACAACTGAAAGCATTAATAATTAAACATACCAGACAACTCCCACCACCCCACCCTTCGCACAACTCAGGCTCTGATCTTTGCTAAAGTTTAGGTTATAAATTATAATGATAAATTAGGAAATCGTGAAATATTCGGAATCGATACACATGGTAGTCCGCGTGCGTATTTACGCTATTACGCGTGTATTACGCGTGTATTACACATGTATTACACATGTATTACACATGTATTACACATGTATTACACATGTATTACACATGTATTACACATGTATTACACATGTATTACACATGTATTACACATGTATTACACATGTATTACACATGTATTACACATGTATTACACATGTATTACGCGTGTATTACACATGTATTACACATGTATTACGCGTGTATTACGCGTGTATTACACATGTA